ATGAATCCATGGTTGGGATGCCCTGAGGAATTTGGGGACACAGTGAGAGAACTGGAGCCATGGGAGGAGACAGAAAAGGGAAGAACAAAGCCTACTGAAGCAGAAAAGGGTTGGGAGGGATGGGGAGACAACCAAAGTCACAGGCTTTTGGTCTCTACCTGGCAGGAATGAGAAGTGCAATGAGAACTACACCACGGACTTCATCTTCAACCTGTACTCTGAGGAGGGGAAGGGCATATTTGACAGCAGGAAGAATGTGCTTGGGCACATGCAGCAGGTCGGGAAGACACCCCAGTCATACCCTTCACCAGACGGCCACAATCCCCGATAGCCATTGGGTCTCCCACTGGTCCCCAATCTGCTGGAGGCTGTCGGTGCCACCACAGAGCATGAGCCTGCAGTTTTTACTGTCACAGAATCGAAACAGCATTACCCTGGAAATGGCCTTCGAGGTTATGTGATCCCTCCTGGGGCAGGGCTTCTCAGCACTGGCACCATTGTCATTTGGGGCTGGATAAATCTTTGTTGCGGGTGGCTGTTCTGTGCCATCGCGGGATGCTTTAGCAACATCCCTGGACTCTACCCACTAGATGCCAGTAGCACCTCCCTCCTAAGTTGTAACAAATACAAAATGTCTCCAGACTTTTGCCAAATGTCCCCTGGGGGGCAAAATCATCTCCAGTTGAGAACCACTAATTCAGATGAAGAAAATGAGGCCCAGACGGGAGAAACAACTTTTTTAGGGCCGCTCATCAAACTTGGGTGAGAGCCAGAATGCACTCCAGTGCTCTTCCCAGCATGCCACGCTGCCTTCCTGTGCAAGAAGTACAGCCACCTTGCTGGTGTTGGGCTCTGTCTGCACTAACCGGGGTTTCCGGGGGAAACGAATTCCCTTCTGCTATCCACATTCAATCCCCACCTACGGCAGGCCTCGCTCACAGACGGTACTGGTGGTCTTAGGCCTCCCCATCCCAAAGCTGATTCTGCTTAAGTATGGACCTTTGACTGTTGTCTACCTACCTATGAATTCCCAGTATCCTCAACTTGAATGAGCTTATTAGCCCCTGCAGGAATGGGGTCTGACTGGATAAAGCATGGCGATCTATTCCCCACTTTCCCACCTCCTTTCACTTAGTTCAGAGAAAATCTGCATGATGTTTTATATTATTCTGAGGTGCTACCAAGGACATCTGTGTTGGTTCACAAGGAACACTTTTGTCGATGATGGTGACTGACAAAAGCTGCTAGGCTGAAGAGGGGCAAGGAGGCGACTGGCCAATCAGACTGGAAGTGAATGAACAGGATCTGGCAGCTGTGGAGCTAGAGGCGGCGGTTGTGAGACCAGGTCCCCCCATATCTAATTAGTTACTCTTACCCCTGGTAAATGGCCAAATAATCTGTGCCAGCTCACTCTGTTCTCAGCGCTGTCTCAGGATTTCCTTCATGGTTAGACTTTTGGATTCCTGTTTCCAGCTGCAAACCTGGGGCCTGTTCTTTCCTTTTTTCTGTGTGTATTCAGGTATCTCTGCCACTTTATTAGAGTCCTTCCCTCTGTAATTTTTATGATTCTTTTTCCAGGGTGGAAGCCCAACTCCGTTTGACAGAAATTTTGCCACTAAGATGGGTGCCAAGGCTATGAACTGGATGTCTGGGAAAATCAAAGAGAGTTACCGTAATGGTAGGTGGGGTAAAAGGGTAAGACCCCCCCCATAGTGGCTGGTTCCCCATTATAGAAGCCTACTGACCATCCTGTATTGCAGGGAGGATCTTCGCCAATACACCAGACTCAGGCTGTGTTCTGGGGATGCGTAAGAGGGCTCTGGTCTTTCAACCGGTGACTGAGCTGAAGGAGCAGACGGATTTTGAGTGAGTACATCTACTTCCCCGGTAGTTTCAGGATCTGCTCTTCCCAACCTGTTCGCTGTCTTCGATCCTTTTATCTTAGGAGTAACACCTGGACTCATACCCGTTTCGGATCTTAGGCCATGTCCTAAAATCCAGCCTCTTCTGCTCCACTTGTTTCTATAAGCTTTTGATAGAAATCAGTTGGGGTGCTGAAAGATTAAATCATCTGTCTCATTCCTCTGTAGCCACCGCATCCCCAAGGAGCAGTGGTGGCTGAAGCTGAGGCCCATCCTCAAAATCCTAGCCAAGTATGAGATTGACTTGGACACCTCAGAGCACGCTCACCTGGAGCACATCAGCCGGAAGCGATCTGGTGAAGCTTCTATCTAACCCTCTTTGGAGTGAGGGTAATGGATTGTCTGATCATGGTCAGCTCACCCCCTGATAGATCCAAGTCCATGCATTCTCAAGTGTTTTAGCCCATTTTTCATTAGGTTTCCTTTTAATCTGCACCTGTAGCCATGACCAGCTCTGGCCAGGGAGCTGAGGCAGTGGGCAGTGCGTAGAAGGTCCTTTGAGGTAGAATTTATCATCACTTCTACCCCAGCTTCATCTGTCACACAAGACTGGGCTCCTCTAGTGCTACTGCTAGATTTCAACTACTCAGTTAGAATCTTCCTAAAAATAAGCTCTATTTATTTCTTGTGATAACAAAGTCTTGGTTCCTCTACTACTCTGACTGCAGTAACACTAATAAAGGCCAACTGGTCACTGTGCTTTTGGTTCTCCTGTTGTCACTTCTGTAAGTAGAATGTCATACTGTCAACCCAAAGCACCAGACCCTGCTCAGACAGACATGTGGGAAAATGCAGCCCATATGATCACCCCATGTACTCCTCTCCATCTCTTGGCTCTGCACATACGGTCCTAGAACATCATATACCGGTCCTTACCCCCTGTCGCACACTAGTCCCTCCTGCATCCTCTGTAGCCATAAGGTGCCCTGCCAGTCTCCCTTAAGCATGAAGTTGTGTTTCACCTCGTGATCATATACCCATTACCTAGGGGTTTTTCCAGCCATTCCATGATCTCTACTTCTCTTCTGACAACTCAGGGTTCTTCCTTCTCAACTCTTCCCCTGTTATTCCTTCCTAGATGAAACGCAGACCCCATTTGTGGGGAGACCTGCACATTTTGAAAGCCTGGGAAAGAGACCCCCACTCCTGGACCCGGTTTGGTGGGCTGGCTGAAATACTGCTTGAGAAAGCGGTCAGTTCTCATTCAGCTCCATTTGTTTTCTATTCCATAACAATAGCTTCTTCCTCATCAGCCAAGTAACCATGTAATGTAGTTGGTCTTCAGGAGCGAGACCGCAGATTTTACCCAAATTGACAGGATGGCACCTGTTGATGCCAAGTTTAAGCTTAGCCTCCAATAACCAGATCCTGACTCTCAGCACAAGCGTACATACTCCTCCCAACCCAGTTTCCTCACCTGCCTGATGAAGCAGGAAGAGGTTCAAGGTTTTACCAGCCGTGGAGGAATGATGATCTCTAATATGTCACTTTTGCTGGCTATCCAAAGTATTACCTTTACACCCTGAAAACAGTTCTGAACAGCAACTGAGAAGGCTTGTCAGGAGTCCAGACTTAAGGCAGCCAAATGCTCTTTGTGCAGTTCATTAAGGGGAAGAAAAATTAACAGTAAATATTAAGCCCTGGTATCACTGCATCCTCAAAACAGCTTATGAGAGAGGTGGTGACAGCCCATTTCAAAGTTACGGACAACGGGGCTCCGGGTGATTAAACAATGTGGAGAAAAGCAGGAACAGTAGAAACTGCCAAACTTGCTTTTAGAAGTGTTTATTTCTTTTTTAAGTGAGCAAAAAAAAAAAA